GTGTGTGTGTGTGTGTGTGTGTGTGTGTGTTGTGTGTGTGTGTGTGTGTGTGTGTGTGTGTATGTGTGTGTGTTTGTTTGTTTGTGTGTGTGTATGTGCGCGTGTGTATGTGTGTGCGTCTGCGTATGTGTGTGCGTGTGCGTGTGGGTCTGTACGTGCGTGTGCGTGTGTGCGTGTGTGCGTGTGGGTCTGTATGTGGGTGTGCGTGCGCGAGCGTGGGTGTATAATCCAAGACGTATTTGCTCCAGGCCTAGCGTCCTTACTTGTACACATTGCTCGATTTATAAGCGCCGTGCCGCGCGCTGGCGTACCTGTATACTATACTATATAGCGGTTATATACGACTCTATCACCACGACGCCCGTCTCGTACTCTGACCCTTTATTGACACGACATTAACATCACCCCGCGTTTTCTGTATCGCGGTATATATGGTGGTGCCCAGGAGAGACGGGGGATCGGACTGTTGACCGACTTACACCGACCGTTATGCTGCAGAGAGGTCCGCATACTTGACTCGATACTTACGATTGTAGGCGGCGATGGACTCCGTACTGTGCAGCCAGTTTGCGTACGGACTGTCTCCGTCCTCGTAGTAGCCCGACAAGTTCTGGCCGACGCCGGCTAGCAGGCCGTCGGTCGTCAGCACGGCCGTGTTGTCGACGACGACCGACCGGAATCCGTCTTTCGGATCCTGAAAATTCAGGATGTCCTTGACGGAGAAGCTGCTTGTCTTCGGTCCGGTGAGTGCCATCGCGGTGTAGCGGTGGCGGTGAGGTGGGTGCGGCCACGTGGCTGTCCCCGAGCGTGGCACTCGTTCCTGTACGAACACGACACACGGGAAATAAACTCAGCAGCCGATCATCGGGTGAACACGCCGATGTTGTTGTTTTTTGGTTGTCTACACAGCAACCGATACAGAAGAAGACGTTCTCAGCTATAAGGCGTTATGTGTACGAGGTGCGCCGTACGGTCACCGTAGAAACACGCGCACACACACACATACATACATGTACACACGTACACACGTACACACGCGTGGCGGTGAGGCTACATGTCGCTCACCGTGGCCCGTCGCGCGATATATGCGGCGGTAAACTGAGGTAGATTGGCAAGGTGATTGCGTACACTACCCCCGCTGCTGCTCAATAGATGGACGCTAGGGCGGGGACGTGTCAACAGCCAGTGGCAACGCAGTGCATGCCAAACAGCTGCACGGCCTGGCGATTGGCCGAGGGGCTATCGATATACGGCTACACGGCTTTAATAGGCAAATCCCAGCGTGCTCGGAGCAAGGCAGGTAAATCACATTATCAGCAACACGAAGTCAGCTGACTGCGGCTAGAATCGGTGTGTGTGTGTGCGTGCGTGCGTGCGTGTGTGCGTGCGTGCGTGCGTGCGTGCGTGTGTGTGTGCGCGCGCGTGTGTGTGTTTGTGTGTGTGTGTGTGTGTGTGTGTGTGTGTGTGTGTGTGTGTGTGTGTGTGTGTGTGTGTGTGTGTGTGTGTGTAATGTGTGTGTGGTGATGTGTGATGTGCATGTGTGTACTGTCCCGTTGATGTGGTGAAGTGTTGTGTGTCCTGTGCTGTTACGATTGAGTTTAGACCGCTAATCCGACACCTGCTCGTTGACAGTAAGTTCGGCTTTCTCACAAGCGATAGTCCCCTCGGTCGACACAGTATATGATACGTCTGCTGAAACGATCTTTTGCGGCTAAGACTATAAATGCGATTACACAGCAACGGCCTAACCTACCCCTGTTTCGAGTCAAATAGAGAAGGGAAGCGGGAGAGAGTGATGGGGGAGAACCTGAGACAGAGACAGAGACGGACAAAGGAGAAGAGAGAGAGAGATAGATAGATAGATAGATAGATAGATAGGATAGTGATAGAATAGGATAGTAGATTAGATAGCATAAGAGAGAGGAGAGAGCAGGCGCTGGAAGTGAGAGATCGAGGGAGAGGAGAGAGGAAGCGAGAGGAGAACGAGACAGGAGAGAGAGAGAAAGATGAGAGAGAGAGAGAAGAGAAATGAGAATAGAGAGAGGATGGAGACGAGCAGAGAGAGAGCGAGAGAGAGAGAAGAGAGGAGAAGGAGAAGAGACGAGAGAAAGACGAGAGAAGAGATGAGAGCAGAGAAGGGAGAGAGAGAGAGAAAAGATTCTTTCTGGAGAAGAGAAGAGGAGACCGAGACGAGAGAGAGAGAGAGAGAGAGATGAGAGTTAAATACAATGGCAAAGTCCATTTAGTATTTACAGCGCACTGTTTGTTGTGACATTTTTATAAAGTTTTATTATAAAGTTATAAGTTATAAAGTTTATCTAAGTTATAAGTTATAAAGTTATTAAGTTATATTATATCTTATAAGTTATTATTATATTATAAAGTTTATAAAGTTTATAACTTTATAAAAGTTATAAAGTTATATACATCATATTGATAACATTTATAAAGCATTTACGTAAGATAACCGCTTCTCTATATTGGATATAGTATATTGTATAGATTACATTCAGATAGTATAAGTATTATATATGATAATATATATATATCTATATTATATATATATATAAGAGAGAAAACAGAGAGGAGCGTGGGAATATAGCGACGGGAGGAGGAAAGAGCGGGAAATTAACTAGGCGTGAGAGGATCACTAGTCATGTTAGATACCGTTCATGGTCTTATAGTTATAAAGATATGACAACACAATTTTTATATTTGATTGATGTTATGTGTTATGAATCATTTTTGGGTGTTTGTGTGTTTTTCTTTAAATTTATATATATTTTAAGAGCTACATAATAGATAAACTCTATTATGTATCTACTGCCTATATATACTATATCATTAATATATATCATAGAGAGAGGGATAAATAGATAGATAGATAGATAGATAGATAGATAGATAGATAGATAGATAGATAGATATAGATATAGATATAGATATAGATATAGATATAGATATAGATATAGATAGATATAGGTATAGATATAGATATAGTTATAGATATATATATAGATATAGATATAGTTATATATATATATATATATATATATATTATATATATATATATATATATAGATATAGAAATAAATATAGATATAGATATAGATATAGATATAGATATAGATATAGATATAGATATAGATATAGATATAGATATAAATACAGATATAGATAAAGATATAGATCTGTTCAAATATCATTGCTTCAAATAAGTTTTAACAACGAATAACCGTGAATCCGTTGACACGTGAATCGGCAAGATTTTACACTGCTCGTATACTTCAGACGCAGCGTGTTGCATTTCGGAATATTTAAGCGCATACGCACAACGGCCCGAGTTCTATATTGTATAATTGACAACAAAAGCCTCGAGAGTCAAGTAGATTAGCTTGAATGAGGCACCCAGGTATTACCGGCAAGCGTTTCAAGCAGGTTTTTGAAAAGCAGCGCACACAAGCACGTTGCAGCGTTATTCTCTGCGAGTCAGTCGCACGTAGGTGCTTATGGCTACCGGTACCGTTGTCCTGGCGACGGGTCCGCGCGTGCGACAGCGAAATGACGCCCGCAATGATATCGCAATTTCCGGACAACCGGCGATGACTCCCCCCTCCCCCCCACCGCGCTAATCCCGACAACATGTGTCTAGTCATAGCTAGTGCCGCTGATGAGGCGCGGGATCTTTGTTGCACCGTGTAGGTGAGTGCTCCCCCGGGGAGGCGGGTCAAGGAGATGGTAGGTCGTCGCTGCATACGTAACGCGGGGGAGGGAGAGAGAGGGGGCGTGCGGCGGGGTTGCACGGCGGCACGCGCGCGTGCGGTAGCGGGAACTTCCGAGTGCGCGCCCTGCCGCCACCTCCACGACCGCCCCACCTCCACATTCATTGTCACATCCATTCTCATCTTAACTCCCATCATCTCCATCTCAGAGATAGAGAGAGAAAGAGAGAGAGAAAAAGAGAGAGAGAGAGAGAGCGCGCGAGAGAGAGAGCGCGCGAGAGAGAGAGCGAGAGAGATAATAGACATTGAGATAGTTTACATAGCTATGTGTATGTGTCCGGCGCGATCTGTCGCAATCGTGCGCATATTGTTTTCGCTTGCTTTCGGAATAGCGTTAGTCACGCTGCTTGCCGCGATTCCACTACGTACGTATTCTACTAACCAAATATACTCACGCGTAACTATCAACCGACCGAGATTTGTAAATATGCGACATTCGTTCGTACTGTTAGTTCTGCGGCGGAGATGCAACGCATTTTGCGTTAGCGTTGCGCCCGCGAGTGAAAATTCGTAGCCACGGAGGGAAATGTTACGATACGCATTGTTCGTATGCTGTGGTTCACATGCGGTTTCGCGCTCGAGCAAAAATGGCGGCAGTACAATGGAGTTTAACCTCCGATGTCCATCATGTGCTGCGTACGCGCAATAATGACGGCAGCAGGCATTCTTATTTAAATGCTTTATTGCACTCTAAGAAAACACTAATTTGCACAATAATTCGGGGATTGGCAAACCATATTTATATTATATTGGAACAAATTAGTCTATAATAAGCTATTTTGACTCATTCATAAAAGAAATAGTGTAATGGTAGCCACACAAAGGTGACTGATATGTGAAAAACTCGTTCAACAAAAGCTTCATGTCGCTAGCGGGGTAAAAGGATGCAGGTGGCCGTAGCCTTTGACGTTCTGTGCGCGTTTCGGTGCAATGATAAACCAACTGTAATGGTCGCTATACAATTACAACAATCGATATGAGCTCCAACGACTAGTTACCATGTATATGGGGAGCCAGGCCGTTTTTAGAGGTTGAGCTCATTGTAAATTGTTTACTGTTTTAATAGCATATAGACAGAGAACGTACACACATACAGGGAACGCACGCAAGCATTCGTGCACGCAGTCAGGCACTTTGTATATATATATATATATATATATATTTATTTATTTATATATATGCACACACATGTATATATATATATAT